ATCTAGGAGATTAGAGCCAATAATGCAACGTATTCTCATACAACGGTTTTATGACATCTTACGAAAAAAGTTACTCCTCAATTTTTGTGCGTTTTCCTACAAAAGTCCAGCAACACAAGTCAATTTCATGCATGCAGTCCTTTCAAAGCAAACTTCTGTCCTCAAAGGAAACAAAAGAGTTAAGTTCAGGCAACTAAACTACTTGGTTAAGTTTAGAAGAACATTGTTGTTTGGTTTTAAATAACTATGGAAGCACCGTTACTGAGGTGCGGACGTTACTCATTGATCTCCTGGTTTGACCGATCCAACTACAACCCGCCCTGTGTGGGTTGTTTTGCGATCTTCATACTTCCTGGTTCAAGATTACATGGATCACATGTGACTTGATTTCGTGGGATATCGACGAATTACAGCACTTTCACTTTCTAGGTTTAGCTCAATGCTTTATGGGATTAGCCTGCCCAACTAATAGTTAGAAGCACCAAAGAAGATGAATATTAATTGAATCTCTGTGCATTCAGAGAAGTAAGAAAAGACAGATTTTAGATTTTAGAAATACTGAGGTCATGAGTTCCCGTAGTAACCCCACCACAAAGTACGAGACACCAAAAGCTCTGCATGTCTTCAAAGTCTATTTATTTAACTATTCTGTTATTCTGTAAGTTTTATCCCCTTACACACATCCTCACTATTGACTGTATACATGTTTAGTGAAGTAGTTTTTATCATCGTCTTCATAACTTATACCATATAATACATGGAAGTAAGGTTACGGATTCTTTAGCATGCTGCTGTTAAAAATAACACTGATTAGATTAATAATACATCAATATATAAGCAGGGTTTATATTATTACAGTAGTTTATAAACCTTTCCTTAAGTTAAATGTAGTAATGCATCCAGTGCATTGTAGGTTGTGTTTTGCTTGCCACAGTACAACTCCGTCTTCAGAGTCTGCAGCACTTATTTTTACGCTGGTAATTCTAAATTGTGAGCAACAAGTCTGTGTTGAAATCAACAGGAGGAGAGCTAGTTAGCTGTTAGCTGTTAGCTGTTAGCAGCGGGTGGGAATAATGGAGCTAGCGGCTAAAGCTAACAGAGGTTGCATTGAGAATTCTAATGTTATGATGGTGGAAACAAGCTTATAAACATTATAAAATGTTGTTTTTCGAGAGAAACCTGATATTTGAAGGAGATCTTTTTACAGCAATATAAAATAGATTTATTAAAAAATCCAAATTTCAATGTGATGGAAAAACATTTGTTTGTTTGCTGTTCAAACGTGTGACAGAAGTGAAAGACTAATTCTAACAAAGGTGTCGCTATTGTGCAAAATCATCACAAAATGCTTTTAAAGACCTTTGTAAAATAATAAGTACGGCAAATAACATGTGAAATCAAGTCAAAGGAAAGAGTTGGGTATAAAAACATTTAACCAGCAGATTCAAAAGGTCTTTGTAGTTCTGTGTATGTTGACTGAGGCCCCGTCAGGCACTAGGACCCAGGGGCCTTCCCCCTGGTGCCCTCCGGGAGCACAGCAGGATTGAATGACAATAAACTGGATGAGATACCGGATGTGCCGAATCTGACCCCAACGGAAAGACTGAAATAGACACTGCAGACCAGCAAGTCCAGGCAGGGGGAGTGGGGGAGGGAGGACGAGAGGCAGTGAATGAGTGAGGGACGATGATACTAATAATGATAACAATGAAAGTGGTGGAGCCAGAAGTAGAGAGAGGGAGATAAGAGAAGTCTAAACAAGAGAAGGAAATGATTTGACACCAGTCACGTGTCAATCCACTCGACCCGTCAAGATCACAAACGATAACCATCAGAACCATCGGCTCGTGATGTTTGATGATTTAATCCTGGTTTTGGTACAATATGCTCTCTATCCAAGCTCATCATCATCACCATATTTCACAAAACATAACTGAGTATTTAGTGTCACATGTTGCTGGACTTTTGTAGGAAAACACTAAACATGAGGAGTAACTTTTCATGAGGTGGTAACTGTTACGGCCTGGCTCAAAGTTCTGACAAGTGAAGCCAAAGCTTCATGTGTTAAAGCTGCATTCTCTCTAGTGTCCACCAGGGGGCGACTCCTCTGGTTATATAGAAGTCTATGAGAAAATGACTCTACTTCTCTCTTGATTTATTACCTCAGTAATCATTGTAAACATGAGTTTATGGTCTCAATCTCTAGTTTCAAGTCTTCTTCAATACAGCATGATGTTCATTTAGTACATTATCGTCCATTTAGAGTCACACAGACCATAAAGCAGGGGATGCTTTAGGGCGGGGCTACACGGTGATTGACAGGTCTCTACCAGAGACGTATATACGGCATCTCTACGTCACTCCTCCTCAGTCCAAATATGGTCACTTCCTGTTCACTGGTTATATAAAAGCAAGATTTGCGACGGGCTATGGTCGTCAGCTGATCCATGTGATTCTGGTTATAAAAGCTCACTCATAAACATGCAGTCCACTCTCTTCCTTTGCTGTTTTGTTTGCTTCACACGTTTCCACACATGCTTTCTTCACTGATTACTGATATTTAATGTTAGTTTGTAAATAAATGAGCTGCTCGTCTGGTCTCAGCTCAGTCTTGAGTCGGACTTAAACTATACAAGAATAGTTTTTCTATGTGCAGTGTTCAGGGAATCACAGTATCACAAGTGGAGGCGGATCCACCGAGCATTTACAAAGCAGTGATTCACGATGGTGGTGTAACAGGTGGAGGATTTAAAGTCTATTCAATCCCTGAAGCACCTAAAAAGTGATCAGAACAGAAAGAGAAACGCAACTCTTTTAAAGAATTATTCAGCTCAAATTGTGAGCACAAATTTCTAAAAAGAGATCCGTGTCAGTGAACACTTGTACTTTGCCAAGGTAATCCATCAGCTGTGTCATATTGAGAAGCTGATTGTTACACAGGTGTTTGTTATTGGGCTGGTCCCAATAAAAGGAACCGTTTTATCAGATGTGGTGAGTTTTAAAGGAGCGCAACATGAAAGACCAAGATTAGACAGAAATAAGTCTTTGCTGCGCTTAGAAAAAGTATTTTAGTTCAACTCGTGAAAAGAGAACCAAAGTGTAGCGTTTATATTTTAATCTATATATTATCGGCTTTCACACCCGTCTGCAGAAAGACTTAAAGGTCCTATTTGAACACACGATGCACAGCAGACAAACGTCTTTTGTGGGAATTTTGTCTTTTCTGCATAAAACCTTTGTGACCAAATTTTGAGAGAAAGAAGTCTTTTTGTGTGCATGGAAGACGAAAAATGAGAGCGAACACTGTCTGTATTGCGTTGCTGTTTTCTTGTGTAATCCAAAGTTAAAGTGACATTTTTCAAAAAACAAACAAAACATACAAAAAATAAACCTAAAGAAAAGGTGCTGCTGTTGTGGAAGCGCACTTCCATGAAAATCCCACTTGTCAGCGTTTTGTCCTTTTCTTACTTAGTAAACGACTTGAACAATTGTTAAATAATCAAAGTAGTTGCCAAACTTTTCTTGTCAACCGACCGATCGAGAAATCAAGAACTGGCAGAGATCTCCAGCTTCCAATGGGGAGTTTCATTTTTACTACTTTCTGTTCACGTCAATACAGTTGAGTATTGTTTCTTGTGCCATCTAGTGGCCTCTGGAGGAACTACACCATGAGACGTTTGTGCAAACGGTCTTGACGGTTGCTTCCCGTTAAGCTAACTGCTGTCTTTTTTCTTTCCTCGTTTAAGCGTGAGCGTCTCTTCCTGCACGTTTTTTACAACTTTTACTTCGTCTAAATGTTTGGAAATGAAAAATCTTTTATGAACTTTAAACACAATCACAAACAAAGTAAAAACTTTCTTTGAAGAAGACATTCCGTTCTCTTTCTTTGAAGTTGGAAGTCCAGGCTGCTTTTTTACAAAGTGTTTTTACTGTTGATCTCTGTTTCTACAAGTGTGTGGTTCTACAGTGCATTAGTCAACGCATTAGCACACCCCCCCCCCCCCCCCCCCCCCCCCCCCCCCCCCCCTCCCCCCACCACTACCCCCCCCCGTCCCACCCCAGCGGAGATGGGTATTGACATTCTGCATCCGACCTTGAGGACAATCAATCCCAACCCCACATGTCCCCCTCACACTCACACACACACACACACTCTCTCACACACTCTCTCACACACACAGCGACAGCTACGACTGATGTTCACCGGTGAATACGAGTGTTTTGACGTTGGGAGGAATCCTTCAGATCTCTCCACATAAAGTCAGAGAACTTTCTCCAAAAGTCAGTAAAAACACTTCTAATGTGCAGACTTTCTGTCAACGTGACCAAATGAAATCAAAACGCTTCCAGGGGCGAAGCAGATTTACACGATTATAAACCCATCCTCCCTGGACGACCCCCCCCACCCCCACACACACACACACACACACACAGACACACTCACCCACCCAACAGCCAAGATGGAAGAATAAGAAATCCATTTAAAGCTTCTCACCAGCTGCATAATTGAACACCAAATCAAAGAGGGAAGAGGAAACACGCCGGATGATCTGTCGTATGTGAGCTGCAGAGGAGGTTAAACCAGGTCGCCCTCTTGTGTTTCACGTTTCATTCGATCTTATGAGTTTGGACTTCGTCCATCTCCGCTTGACAAGATGCTTTGCCAATTTATTCACAGAAGAAAAAGAAACCAAAACTTTAATCTAATCTCAAGACCAAGAAAACAAGCAAAATGTGCACAAAATCTTTCGAATGTTACAACAAAACAAAAAAAGTTAATTCCAAAATTCTGAACATCCTGCCATCTGCATCAGGTTCTATCACAGAGACATGCTTCATCACCTGCTTCATCACCTCTTTCATATTCCCCTAAAATCCCTGTTTTATAAAGCTGCACAAACCTTTTCAGTAATTCCTTATTTATGAAACTTTTTCTTTCATCACAAGGTCACGCAGAGCATCAATAGTTCACCAGCAGAACGGGATGAATTCATGATTACCTCTGATTGGTGGGAGATCCATCCTGCCGCGGCGTGCTGGGGGCGTCCCGGGTGTCCGTGTGTGTGTGTGTGTGTGTGTGTATAAACGTAGAGTACTTATAGTACGTCTATGGAACCCAGTGATGAATTTATCTTTACCTTAATATATGTTTATGATTTCTTGTGAAGCGTTAATCTTATTTCACGATGTGGTTCACCGTTCTTTGATGTCCAGCAACAGTATTCTATAAGATCAGTGCAGCTGGGTTGTCTTAAGGGTGTGTGAGGCTGGGAGGATGCTCTCCCTCCTCCTCCTCCTCCTCCTCCTCCTCCTCCTCCTACTCCTCTTCTTCTTATTCTTCCCAGAGCTCCAACCGGAGCGCTCTGACCTCCAACCGGTCCCGTTTTCACGTTCGCTGCGTCGGAGAGCTCCTCTCTCTCTGTCCAAGTTGTGAGGACATGCGAGCAGCAGAAACAGTTTAATTCTTCAGCGTGCAGTTTTCAGAGAGAGTCCAGGAGCAGAAGTATCTCCATGCAGAGTGGAAGAAAAAATCAAATACTTGCAGCAGCTCAATATTTTGGGGTTGTAAAAAGAAAAAGTGCATCTGGTTGGAGTGAGAAGCTTCAGAGATTAAACACTGAACTTTAGAATAAAATCTTCTGTTCCCGTCCTGGAGTAGTTTCCTCTCCTCTCCCCGAGAGATGAATGACTGAGAGCTCTCTCTCTCTCTCTCTGTCTCTCTCTCTGTCTCTCTCTCTCTCTCTCTCTCTCTCTCTCTGTCTCTCTCTCTCTCTCTCTCTCTCTCTCTCTCTCTCTCTCTCTCTCTCTCTCTCTCTCTCTCTCTCTCTCTCCCGCTCCAGTCCCCCCTCCCCTCTCTCTCACCCCTCCTCCCTCTCCCATCACTGAAATCAGTTCACTTCTGCTTTATGAACATGACGGGGCAGAAGAACTCGTGTTGCTGACACAAATGTTGTATTTTATGGGATTCATCTTATTTTTTTACCTTAAAGAACTTGACGGGATTAGATGTTCACCGTCATGATACAGAACACGTTGAAGTTAAAGATCAGGATGTGAATAGTTTTGCTTATTCAGATCTTATTTGAGTTTGTGGGCGGGTGATGCAACGTATCCCCTTAATGTTTCTGTTACGTAACTTCAGTGATGTCACTTCCGTAGTTATTAAACCTAACTAAGTATTTCACCATCTTTTATTAGACCTGACTCAGTGGTTTTAAAGTTTATTTTGAACAGATGTTATGCATGTATTCTTGTTGCTGAAAACACATGAAAAATGATGAGCAACTTTTTGTAAGATAACATGCGTTGTATGAGGATCCGTTGAAAGGTAACAAGTGTTAATTATGTAGGAGATAGTGAACTGGCTGGTTTTAGGAGACGTATTTGTTCGATTTTAAACCGTGTTGAACGTTATAACGGTTACGAGAAAAGCATGTTGGAGATTTTCACTCATTCATTCCATGAGGACAAGTGACATCACTGACAATATGCTGCATGACTGTAATATGAACCGCCTCCTTTGTCTGCGTGTGCGTGAGTGGAGACTCATGCATGTGCACGTGCGTGTGCATGTGCTTTTGTCTCTTTTGGTCTGTGCCCTTACTCAGCAACTTGCAACCATCCGGACCAAAGCAAGACACACCAGTGTAGGCACACACACACACACACACACACACACATTAAAGTAACCGGACACTGCTCCATAATGTGTGTGTGTGTGTGTGTGTGTGGGGGGGGGCTGTTTCCTGTTGAGGAAAATATCTGAGATGAAACAAACTGCTGATAGAGACACACTGAAGACAAAGAAAACAGGATTATGTCAAATAAATAAGTGTTTATTACTTTGTTTTTGTTGCACAGTCTGACATTTGAAGAAAATGTTCCACCAAAAAGATGCACTTTTCTTTTTAGAAATAGTATTAACATCACAAGTTATAAACCAATCTGACTGCATTTATTTGTTGTGTTTTTAAGTCTGATTCTGCGTTGCTTAGTTGCTTAATGGAGCATTCAGGGATCCTTGTGAATTTGTAAAGTCTGGAAATGTCATGAGACATGCCAGGAGAGCAGAACAAACAAAGAGCCCTGCAATGACAGCCAGGTAGAAGGTGGTGGTGTCTAGATGGTTACCTTAGTTCAAAACTCAGAATCATCTCTGAAACAAGCACACAGACACAGAGTTTGCACATTCATCCTTCTGTGGAACCCATTTCCTGAAATATTGCTTCCTTGAAATGCAACTTGCATGCCAATTAAGCAAAACCAACCGAATGGAGATGGGGAGAGTTGTTCTGGGTCAGGCAGGGATCAATGTCAAATGGCCTGGTTAACAGCATGCAGCTTGACAAAGTCATTCATTTCTGCCGGCGCTCTTCCTGCGTGTGTTTGTGTCACTGTGCTGCAGTAACAAACGCCTGCTGGATGGGGGAGGAGGCGTCCCACCCAAGAAGAAGCACATGGGTGTCGACTTACACAACACATTACAGTATGTCTCTCTCACGTGAGCTTCCCACTGGATGCTTTTATCTCAAGTGCCGGGCTCAGACGTGAAATTTATGCTCACTTACTACGGACATTGAACTGTTTCCTGTGGTCGTTTGATGAGTACAACAACAACAGAGTTGAAGGGACATTTCTATTCCAACCAACGTCGCTGGACGGTCAGAGCGTCGGACATTTTTGTGTTGTAGCGGACTAACTTCTGTAGAAGCTAAACAGAGATACGACAAGTCACAGACTCACTGAGTCGAGGTTCTGCAGTAACGAATGAAAGGAGAAGTGGAGTTGTAACGTTACGAGACTCAGAGTACATTAGTAACTCAATGCTTCATCCACACACTCTTGGGACAGCATAGGAAAGCACAATACTGTCAACAGATGAGTGACAACTTTGTTCGGCTCATTTTCTGTAACCAGTGTAGCATTGAAGTATCGTACAATGAACATGCTAGCTACCTAATCAGGGGACAACTGGCTAGTTAGCTAGCTTGCTAATCCCACCATGCTTTAATGCTGGACTCACACATTGATCTGTGGACTGATGTTTTGAAGCCATGAGTTCGGCGTTTCAGCCATCACCATCTTGGATTATGGACTGTCGCCATCTTGATTTTTTGCAACCAGTGAACAGGAAGTGACCATATCTGGACTGAGGAGGAGTGATGTAGAGA